ATTAGTATAGAGTGCAAAGCATCTGAAGCTATGGAGCGATAGAGTAGTATATAAAGCCCATAATGATATAGCAACGTCATTCTTTTATTTCAATATTTTGACCAGCCTGATGGGTAAAAATGCGTCATTAATATCGTTTCTGTGAGCTTTGGAAGTTAATTTGCTTGAATAGCACAACTGATACCAGAGTAACGTACAGTTTTCGTGACAAAAACAGTAGCAGAAATGCAGGTCTGCTCCACCGGGAAGTTGACAACTGAGGATGCACATTGTCAGATGTGTACGTTCATTAGGCTCTTTGAAAATCTGTCGTAAATGGTTGTCCTTTGAACAGGAGAGCACATTCTTTAAAATAGTATCGTATCGCTTCATCATTTCTTCCTCGAGAATGCTACATAAACAGCAAGTTTTTATTGCATTAAAATTGGTTATCATGGCTGTTATTCAAAAACAACTTCGTTGCGTTGAAGAGGAACTTTATACTTATTTGTATTAATCTTATTCCATAATCTTGGGGACAGGTCAATGTATTAATTTTATTGAAGATCCTGCGCTACAAAGTTTGTGATCTGTAATAGCATAAAAAGTATTTACTTCGCTTTTGTTAAGAGCTATCAGTCAGCATCTTCAATGCGTCGTCGTGAATACCAACACTAGTTATTACGTTATAGACGCGACTAAAATTACTTTTAGCTTTGCTGGAGCCCGGATGAAAAACAAATCTTGACTGCCTCTGCGGATAGAACGTGCAAAATATGGGATGTTGAGAGTGGTGCCTTATCTGTGTAGGCTGAAAGTTCTAAACTGTCTGCCTTTTGCATGCATTAAATGCTATGTTTAGGGTTTTTCCATTCGGTAAAAGTATTGAAAATCAGCAGTTGGGGTGTCTGTGGCAAGGACCACATCTTATTTCCGTGTCGCTCTCTGGGTTCTTAAATTACCTTGATCCCACGAACCCTGAAAAGCCGCGCATGGTTGTCAAAGGCCATAACAAACCAATCACTGCTCTTTCGGTTGATCCCGAACATTCGCTGGCATTCACAGCGGATATGGATGGCTATATAAGTAAGTGATGCTTTAATCGATTGATAAACACCGTTCGTTCAAAAACTAAAACCGGTATAGTATGTCATCTTGCGTTGCGTTTGAATTAATGCTGATGTAGTTCAGGAAATTAATATCATCAGTAGAAAACCATATTTTTCCGTGGTATAGGACATGCAAATCAGCTGAAAAGGAACCCAGTGTTTTAGATACCGTTTACATTGTTGATCAAGTAGGCTGCGTCAAGAAAGGCATTCAGAACTCCAATGTATTTTTATGTGTATTTTATAATCTCTTTGGCTCTGCTACTTAGTAAGCACTGTTAAGTCTTAGACCGCATTAGCACTGATTCCCTAGAAGACTTCGATTGCCTAGTGTTTCCTAGACAGGTATCTAGCACCGCTGCTATAGATAACATTACCGAACGAAAAGTTCGATTTACTGACAAAATGGTTTTCACTACTGCTGATAAAAGTAATCGGTATGCGCCATTGGGTATAAACAACATATTTGATTAGCCGCCTTACCTACAGATGCCTAGAAAGCCATGACTACGTATTATTACAACACCTGCAGTGCATCATTACTTAGCTGCATCATTGTTAGTTTCGCAACCTGATTGCTGGACAAGCATAAACATTTTAAGAAATGATAATCGTGATTTTGTCAACAGTGGATGACGACACATAGTGTGCACGTTCTGTGAGCGTTGC